TTTTTTTTTTAAGTAAATTCTACGCCCACTGTGGGACTCAAACTCACAACTCTGAGATCAAAAGTTCCATGCTCTACCAAATGAGCCAGCCAGGCGCCCCAGCCATGGTTCATAAATTTCTCGAATATATTACTTTTGTAAACAGAAAATTATTAAAACATTACTCAACATATCTAAAATTGAGTTCACATCCTCCTCCACAAACCTCGCTTTGTAAATGGCACCGTCATTCAATCCCCCAAACTAGAGTTATTCCAACCTCCTTCCTCTTCCTTGCATCAGTCACCAACTCCGTAAGATTTTACTAAGTGTCTCTCGTCGTCTTCCATCCTTATGGCTTTAGTGCAAACTCTCAGATTTTCAACTGTAATAGGCTTCTATCTCCAAGTCTTGACTTCCCTGTCTCCAGTCTCAACCCCAAGCCACTGTCCACACTATGAAGGATAGGCCCAGTCAGGTGACTCCTGCCGCTGACAACACACTACCTCCCCATCACTGCCCAGAGAAAAAGCCAAAACCCTCTGCCTTTGCCTCTGGCTTCATCTCCCACCAGGCCCCTCAAGCCATGATCCAATCCTGGGTATGCTTTCCCACAAATCAGCACCCTTTCATTCTACTTCCTCAATACCAAGTGCCTGCCCTCCCTCTTCTCTTTCTGGCTAAACACTACTCATCTTTTAAAACTCTGCTCAAGTATCACCTCCTGGCTAGAAGCTTTCTCTGACTGCCTCCACTCCCTCCAGCCAGTATGTGAGGCATGCTTCTTTGTGGCCGCATTTATCTCTGCAAAGCGTGGAATTTCCCTGTTGACTTGTCTGTCTCGCCCATTGTGCTGGGAGCCTTCGAAGGCAGAAGTTGTCTCATTTCTGGTTGATGATATTACAGATTATTTTTATTTGCTTCTTTTTCTTACCTGCATGTTTTCCCTCTCTTTCTTTTAATTATATAAATAAAGCTTGTTGGGAAAGACTCAAGGAATATAGAAGCATAAAGTAAAATTACCTGGATTTTCTAAGTCGTATGCCTACCCAATCTCTGAAACTCAGTAAACCCCCAACAAAAGGTTATTGAGTAAATGACTAAGACAGCACGATGCGGGGCAGTAATCCAAGAGGTTATAGAGATCCAAGGATATATTCTGGGTCCTTGCATCCCACTATAACCAGAGCAGCTCTGCTTTTATCTACTTCACTTATTAGACTTCCATGTAAAATTTCATCCAGAAAGGGGGTTCATACATATCCTCAAACAAAATGTCTAAAAACAAGAACTTACGGAAAAATACAAGTTGGCAGACCTAACTCTAGTCCTAGTTCTAAAATAAATTAGCTACGCAAATCACTTTTCCTCTTTAAGGCAGTACTTCTTATCTGTTAAATACCTAACACACACATACACCGACACTTTAGGGCACTATTTCTCATCTGTTATATAACAACAACCCCCCCAAGGTATTCATTCCCTAAGTTCCTTTCGCTTCTAAATTTCACAAAATTGAATAAAGCAGGGGCGCCTGGCTGGCTCAGTCAGTAGAGCATGCAACTCTTGATCTCAGGGCTAAGAGTTCGATGTAGAGATTACTTAAAAATAAAATCTTAAGGGGCGCCTGGGTGGCTCAGTCAGTTAACTGTCCAACTCTTGATTTTGGCTCAGGACATGATCTTCAGGGTCGTGAGATCGAGCCCCGTGTCGGGCTCTGTGCTCACCGTGGAGTCTGCTTGAGATTCTCTCTCTCCTTCTGCCCCCTCCCTACTCTCTCTCTCAAAATAAATAAATACCTTTTAAAAAATTAAAAATAAAATAAAATAAAAATAAAAACTTAAAAAAAACAAGACAGAGCACCCAGGTTGCTTCTTTCTCATGTGACACCAGGTATCACAATCCACATATAGTAAAAGCGGTTGCCTACTTGGTTCAGAAACCACACTGCTTTTTGTCCTCCCGTTATCAAACCTTTAAGTCTTCTTAATAGTATTTTCCAGAAATTCTTTTCTTTTTTGATGGGCTGATAGACTTGATGGACTTGGGCTTTAGGATGAACTGTTTGGAGTAGAAGAGGAGGAGATGAATAGTAGCAAGAAACAACCACTAGGAGTTGCCATCCCCTTCCTCAATGATGCCAGAGAAATGCTGTACTGACCTTTATAGAACAAATAGTTTTAGGGGCAAAAGACAAGTTCCTACTGTGATGTGACCTGTCCAAATCTCCATTTAGACTGAACCAGGAAAAGAAAACAAGATAAGCCATTATAGTGCTAAGAGGATCTCAGAAATCAGAACTAGTTAATGAAGGCAGACTTCACTTAGCTATTCTCTATCCTTCTACACCACATATCTTTGAGTAGAGTATGCCTTACACCAGGGAGCCCTAAGTATCCATGAAGGTTCTGAGAGACCCAGGTGGAAAGATTACCTACCTGATTAGAAGTGGGCGGTGGAGGAGGACCAGGGGGTGGTGGAGGGGGTGGAGGAATTGGCATCCTTGCCCTGCTTGCAGTTGGCACTGCTTTCTCTCCGTTTTAATTTGCAGCTTTAGGTCACTCATATACCTGCAATGAAATGGAAATTCAATGAGAACAACTCTGCCATCAGAGACACTGAGTACCCAGGAGAATTAGGGGACTGGGCATGACGTGAGAGAGAAACTAAGCACCTCATCCCCTAGTTCCTCTGTGATAGAGTCCAGGGCTTGGTAAACTTTTTTTGTAAAAGGCCAGATAATAAATATTAATACTGGGGCACCTGGGGGGCTCAGTCTGACTCTGGATTTTGGCTCAGGTCATGATCTCAAGGTCATGAGATAGAGCCCCGCATTAGGCTCTGCACCGGGTGTGGAGCCTGCTTAAGGTTCTCTCCCTCTGCCCCTCTCCCTCCCCCTAAAAAAAAAAAATTAATATTTTAGGCTTTACAGGCCACATATGGTTTCTGTCACATTTTATTCTTTGTTTTATTTTGACATTTTTTAAATAAGCTTTATTTTTTAGAGCAGTTTCAGGTTCACAGCAAAATTGAGCAGAAAAGTAGAGTACCCATATACTCCTGTTTCACCTCCACCCACACCCCCCCACACACACAGCCTCCCCCACTATCTACCATCCTGAAGTTGGACATTTGATACTATCGATACCTCATTACCACCCAAAGTCAGAGAGACCCAGTCTCTGGATGGTGACAGAATGGTAGCCAGGTTTTTTCTACAGGTTGGGTGACTACGGGTCTGCCATCCAATTTCTTGTTACGTCCATATGTAATAATGAAGCTTTCACACTGGCTCAGCAGCACAGCAAAATGGAAACCTATGCAGACATTATTGGTTCTGAAGATACTACTAATGAAGACTATCAAAGCATCACCTTATATTTTAAAGGAGAAAAAAGACATTTTCAGTCTGGAAAATTCTTCTTGCTGTGTGGCCAATATTCACAAGCACTTAAACATTTCCTCAAATGTCCGAGTGCAGAAGATAATGCGGCAATAGAAATGACAATTGAAACTGTTGGTCAGGCAAAAGATGAACTGCTGACCAGTCTGCCGATAGACCACCTGATGGGAGAGAGTGATGGCATGCCTAAGAATGCCAAGTACCTGTTCCACTTGTACATGGCCCTGAAGCAATACCGAGAGACCGCCCGGACCGCCATCATCATTGCCAGAGAACAGCAGTCTGCCGTAAACTATCAGAATGCTCACGACCTTCTCTTTAGCATGTATGCAGAACTTAAATCCCAGAAGATCAAAATTCCCTCTAAGATGGCCACCAACCTCATGATTCTGCACATATGATTCAGCATCTTCTACACTAGTGAAGATTCATGTTAAAAATGGAGATCATATGAAAGGGGCACGTATGCTTATTCGGGTGGCCAACATCAGCAAGTTTCCGTCACACATTGTGCCAATCCTGACGTCCATGGTGATCGAGTGACACCGAGCAGGCCTCAAGAACTCTGCTTTCAGCTTTGCAGCCATGTTGATGAGGCCCGAGTACCACAACAAAATAGATGCCAAATACAAAAAGATCAAGGCCATGGTCAGGAGACCTGATACCTCCGAGACAGAAGAGGCCACAACCCTGTGTCCATTCTGTGAATTTCTTCTCTCAGAGTGTGAAGTCCTCTGTCCTGGATGTAAAAATAACATCCCATATTGCATTGCAACAGGTCAACACATGTTGAAGGATGATTGAACTGTGTCCACATTGCGACTTCCCTGCTCTATACTCAGAATTTAAGATTTTTTTTTTTAAAGGTTTTATTTACTTGACAGAGAGAGACACAGCGAGAGAGGGAACACAAGCAGGGGGAGTGGGAGAGGGAGAAGCAGGCTTCCCGCCAAGCAGGGATCCTGATGCGGGGCTGAATCCCAGGATGCTAGGATCATGACTTGAGCTGAAGGCAGACGCTTAACGACTAAGCCACCCAGGCACCCAGAATTTAAGATCATGTTAAATACTGAAAGCACATGTCCTACGTGTTCAGAAAGATTAAACTTCGCTCAACTAAAAAAATCTCAGACTGTACCCAGTACCTGCGAACAGAGGTGGAGCAGTGAGTGGCCTGTGCAGGAAGCCAAGTTTCTACCCCTGGTGGTTTCTGGATACAGAAAAAAGAAAGACTCTCCAGGTCACAGACATTGTACAGTTGCCGTTGTAGAGTGGCAAAACAGTGACATGTAGCCTTGCTGTTTATTATACTTCGTAGAGTTCCTATTCAAAGTCTTACATATTCTATGCTCTATACTGTTAATAGTAGCCCATGATGTAACTATAAATATTCAACTTTTTGATAACCTTTATATTTTTTGAAATACCTCCTTTAAAATAAAATTGATTAGATATTGGCAACCTGTATTTTATATATTTAGACAAATGTATAATGACAACTACACACATTGTAGCATCATACAGAATAGTTTCACTGCCCTAAAAATCTGTGTCTGCCTATTTATCCCTCCTTTCCCCCAACACTGGTCCTTTTTACTGCTTCCATAGTTTTGTCTTTTCCAGAATGTCATACAGTTGGAATCAAATATGTAGCCTTTTTCAGATTGGCTTCTTTCAATTAGTAATACTCATTAAGTTTCCTCCATGTCTTTTCATGACTTGATAGCTCTTTTCTTTTTAGTGCTGAATAATATTCCATTGTTTGGATGTACAACAGTTTGTCTATCCATTCACCTACTGAAAGACATCTTGGTTGCTTCCAAGTTTTAACTAATTATAAATAAAGCTGTTATAAATATTCTTGTGCAGGTTTTTGTGGGGACATAAATTTTGGCTCATTTGAGTAAATACCACGACTGTGATTGCCAGATCCTATGGTAAAGAGTTACATTGTATAATAAACTGCCAAATTGTCTTCCGAGTGGTTGTACCATTTTGCATTCCCACCAGCAATGAAGGAGAGTTCCTGCTGCTGCACATCTTTGTCAGCATTTGGTGCTTTCAGTGTTTTAGATTTTGGCCATTCTAATAGGTCTGTAGTAGTGCAATCTCACTGTTTTAATTTTTCAATTCTCTGATGACATATGAAGTTGAACTTCTTTTCATGTGCTTACTTCCCATCTGTATATTTTCTTCAGTGAGGTGTCTGTTTAGGTCTTTTGCACAGTTTTCAATATGGTTGTTTTCTAATTGTTGAGTTTTAAGAATTCTTTGTCTGTTTTGGATAACAGTCCTTTATCAGATGTGTCTTTTGCAAATATTTTCTCCCAGTGTGTGGCCTGTCTTCTCATCCTCTTGATTTTTACATTTTAAAACTACATTTTTTAGGGGTGCCTGGGTGGCTCAGTCATTAAGCGTCTGCCTTCGGCTCGGGTCACGATCCCAGGGTCCTGGGATCGAGCCCCACATCGGGCTCCCTGCTCAGCGGGAAGCCTGCTTCTCCCTCTCCCACTCCCCCTGCTTGTGTTCCCTCTCTCGCTGTGTCTCTCTCTGTCAGATAAATAAAAATAAAAAAAAAAAACCTGGGGCACCTGGGTGGCTCAGTCGTTAAGCGTCTGCCTTCGGCTCAGGTCATGATCCCAGGGTCCTGGGATTGAGCCTCGCTTGGGCTCCCTGCTCAGCAGGAAGCCTGCTTCTCCCTCTCCCACTCCCTCTGCTTGTGTTCCCTCTCTTGCTGTCTCTCTCTCTCTGTTAAATAAATAAATAAAATCTTAAAAAAAAAAAAAAACCCTACATTTTTACATTTTAAAAATGTAAAAACCATTCATGGTTCATGGGCATTATTTTGGGGGGGGCTTTCTTTTTTATTTCTTTAAATTTTTTGTTATGTTCATCACCATACATTACATCATTAGTTTTTGTTCATGGGCATTATTAAAACAGACTATGGACCAGATCTGATTCGTGGGCCATAATTTACCGACTCCCAGTATAGTCACATCCTTGGAATCTGATCAGAGCATAAATACCATGTGAGAATTTAGCTACTTATCAGGTCACAAAAAAACTATACAGCTGTCCTCCTGTTACAGTCTGTAAGTGATCTGCACTTTACAAATGAGACAAACCAGGGAACTGTCTTACCCTAAGACATTAAAGTGGGGGGGGGGGCAAAAATAAAACTAAAACTCAAGAACAATAATTCACCCAAAAAAGCTGTTCCAAGGAAATCCGACTTCTTGCTCCCCCCCCAAATCAAAGTGAAAATAACATTATCACTGGGAGTACAACTTACAGATGACAAGAAAGGTTCAAGACAGGGTAATCAATTTCAAAAATTAATCCAGGGAAGAACTGCTTCCAAGCAGGGTGATTAATGAGATTAGGACACAGGAAATCTCACAGGTAGCCCCTAGCACAGATGAGAGACCATGTGTACCAAGCCAAGCCTAAAAGATCAAACCAGCATGGCAATCCACTGAGGAAGTTTGGTTCTGAACTCTACACAGGTGATCAAAATTTCTCTGTGAATAAAGGAGTAACCACTTAAACATTTCCCTCAATGCTCTCAAAACCATTTAAACACTTTCTCAATGATGAAAGAAAGAGCAAATATTCCAAAGGTTCTAAAAACCAAGAACTTTTAGAGGCGGGTAGAATTTGATCAGAAACATGACTGTGAAGGTCTTCACAATCTTAACCCTTCTAACAATGCCACTACAGGCTGGATGCCCAACAGAGCTTTTTGCTCCAATCACAAAGAACTGGACAGTAGACTTTGGACAACTAGACTTAGGCTAGATGGTTCCCATGGGGAATGGTGTCTGAACTCACTTCAAGAATTGAGCAGCCAGGGCGCCTGGGTGGCTCAGTTGGTTAAGCGACTGCCTTCGGCTCAGGTCATGATCCTGGAGTCCCGGGATCGAGTCCCACATCGGGCTCCCTGCTCGGCAGGGAGTCTGTCTCCCTCTGACCCTCTTCCCTCTCGTGCTCTCTATCTCTTTCTCTCTCAAATAAATAAATAAAATCTTTAAGAAAAAAAAAAGAATTGAGCAGCTGACCATCCTGCAAGGGAAAACACCTTCTGATGTCTGGTTTCAAAGCTAAGTCTAGTTCTTCTTTGCCAGGGATCTAACATACTAGACTTTAAAAACTGATCAAAATTGG